GAGGTCACAGAAAGATTCTTGAGGTTTGTTTTTGGTGAAATTCTATTAACTTCATTAACAAGTTTATTGTTTTTTCAAATGACTTGCTTCCATTTAAAATGTGTGTATGTGTGTGTGTGTGTGTGTGGTGTGCTGATAATCTAATCCAAAGCCTTGTGTGTGCCAGGCAGCACGTAGTCAAGACTCTACCAGGAACCTTCAACTCCAGCCCCCACCTCTGTCTTAAAGAAGGCAAAATTACATACAGCTAACGTACTCTAACATGGATGAATCTTGAGCATATGATGTTAAATGAAATTATACGTGTCACAAAGGACAAGTACTGTAGGATTCCATTTATAGGAGGTCCCTAGAGAAGTCAACCACAGAGACAAAAAGTAGGGTGGTGCATGCCAGGGGCTCGGGGGAGGGGAGGGATAAGAGAGCTTAGGTATTTAATGGCTGCAGTTTCTGTTTGGAATGACAAAAAAGTTGCAGGCACAAATTGTGAAGATACTTACACAGCTTTGCAAATGTACGGAAGGCTCTCAGATAGTACAGTTAAAAATTGTTAAGTCAGTCTCTCCATCAACACAATGCCTTGCGTCCTTAATTGTGACAAGTCACCCATATCCTGATGACAACTTTTCTCCCACTCCAGCCACTGCTGTTTTCCTTCCAGCCGTACCACATTTCAGGGAAGGGCCTTTTCTAATTTCTTCCCCTCTCGGTTTCATTAAGAGTACGCCCACTCAGCCTACCCACAGTGTTGGAGCCATGGCTGCTTCCCTTATTCTTTTTTCAGTTCTGTTAGGAAAGTTCACATCAATGTGCACACGTAATCAGTTATGCATGGCAACACCTAATGAGATTTGGGGGCTGAGACAGTCAAGGGTTTTGCTGTTGTAAGGATGTGTGTGCGAGGTGTTAATAGGCCAGAACCTGCCTGCTGAGGAATTAACACACTGTGGGATTAAAAGAAAAGTTAGTAAGGAAAACCGGCCTCTCTTTTCCAAACATGGGAACTCTTTCAGAAGGGAACGCTTATTGAATTTGTCTCTCCTTAAATGAATTCTGCTCTGTGGCCTCGTTGCTTTTAGTCTTCAAACCATTATGACCCACATCTGTGTTGCTCTGGGTCGGCTATTCTGAAGCCAGCTGTTGCTGGGCCTTTTAGTTAGGCTGAAATTAGGAACAGACTTGGGGGTTGTCTACCTGCTGTGAGGTCCTGTTGGAGTCACTGAAAACTGCAAATAGTGAGAAAATATAGCTGCCCAGGCGGGAACAGTTAGGATAATTTCCACAGCACCCTGGGACCTCAATTGGGAATTGGTGCCAACTCTGTGATTTGACATTGTTATTTTGTTAATGCTACCTGTTGTTGTAAACCAAATATATGCACAGCAAAAATTAGTAAAAGAAGAGGTCCTGTTGGAGTCACTGAAAACTGCAAATAGTGAGAAAATATAGCTGCCCAGGCGGGAACAGTTAGGATAATTTCCACAGCACCCTGGGACCTCAATTGGGAATTGGTGCCAACTCTGTGATTTGACATTGTTATTTTGTTAATGCTACCTGTTGTTGTAAACCAAATATATGCACAGCAAAAATTAGTAAAAGAAAATTTGTGTCACAATAAGAACAGTGTATGGGCCAGTGTGCAGATTTTCGCCTTCCCTCCCTCCCTCCCTCCCTCCCTCCCTCCCTCCTTTCCTTTCTCTACTCCTGTGAGAAAGGAACGATAAAATGCTGATTCTGTGAGAAAATTCTTAAGATTTCTGCCACAGGGGAAAATAAGTAAAGGGCTCTGGTTATCACACACACAGGTATAATTTGCACAGATCCTCAGGCTTGGATATGGTAGACGGGTGAACAAATTTTCCCAAGTATTTCAAAGAACAAGAAGGTCTCAACCTTGACTGAATCATGGTTAGTTTGACTCTAAATTATCCAGTATGCAAGTGTCTACATAAGGGAAGTTTTCTCAATGAGAAGTATCTTAGTGTAAATATGGGTACAGTTCCCATTAGAGAGGTGTGTATGTGTATAAGAAATGCACACTGTTTATTTTCTTCTAGTCATCTCCTTAAACAGAATGAAAATTGAAGAGACAGAAATGAAACAGATTCTAAACCAAGGTTAAAAACATTCTGTACCTTAACTTCAAGCAGATTGAAGCCATTTCAGAAGACTGTCTTTAGGACAGAATCACAATTTTGCTGTCCTCCAAGGGGTATAGTGTGTTAAATTTGTATTAACACACCCAAGCTAAGGACTATTCTTTCCTCTATAGTCTTAACACAGAGAATTCTGAATTCTTTAAGCTCCATGAAAGAGGAAGTTTTGAAGAATGAGCTGCAGCAAACATCAAATTTCTAGTTCTACGTGAAATGTTTCTTACTTCAAACAGTAGATCCCTGTTTCTTACCTGGAACACACAGGAACACTCACAGGCAACTTAAAGTTATACTGCATCCCTTCGGAAATCTGTTGGCTCATAGAGCAAACGACTACCCTTGACTTGGGTAAATACTCCCAAGTATTCTCCTTTCTGAGATATAATTCACACAATCCAAATAAAGTCACAGAGATAGGATTAATATTTACTAACAAGGAGTGCCTCTCCTGGTGCCTCCACTGATCTTGCATTCTGAGCCTGCCTGCCTAATAAATCCTGGTGGTTTGCTGTGGATTTCATGCTCTGCTATACAAAGTTTCACTTCAGGCTTTCAAACAGGCAAGGCCTTTTCTGGGGGGAGGGGAGGGGTTCTTTTTGTTTGCTTTTTACCCTTAGCTCTTCTTTACTGGAACCCCTCAAGAACTTCTCTTATCTAAACAGCCCCAAATGGCTGAACTCGACTTCCTCATCAAATTTCTGAAAGGAGCAGAATTCCAAATGCTGAACAAATCATTCAATAGACAGCAGTAGAGGAAAGTGCTTTCTTCCCCTCCTGTTTCATAAGCCAGAAGGATCAACCCATTTAAAGTTATAAATATCCAAATACAACCATTAACACTGCCTGCTTTGCTCTGCCTGCATATTCTCTTTTACCCAAACCTTCAAGACTAGGAGATCCACCCCAAGGGAGTCCAAGGGGTTTGTATTGTGTATAGAAAATGTCCTTAATCTTGAATGGCTTTAGATATCTGAAGATATAAAAAAACCTGAAAATTTGACAGTGCTAAATATGGTTGTAAGAGTAGGAAGAGACCCCCTCAGGAATTCATTTTAAAAATCAAGTTTGTGCGTGTAGAACAATTACCACTGGTGTGTTGACAGATAAACAAGGACAGCAACTTTGGTTACAACCACTGTAAACACATTTTAACTTAGCAACAAACTAGCTGGCCTTCAGGCTGCCATTTCTAGGTTTGCCACATGGGCACTAGCATCTGTCTCTTATCCATCTATCAAATTACACTCTCGGATTTCGAATGCATTGTCCAGAAATGTGCAAGAAAGGAAATCATTTGAAAGCACAATATTATTGTAGACAGAGGAAGCCCTGAGTAAAATCACATGTGAACCGCCAAAGGAAGAGCACGAAGCAGGCTGGAGAGAAGAGGCAAGTCATGAAAATCTTGTAATTTTATGTAGGGGAGTTGGAAGTTTGCTTCTTAAAAAAACTTAAACTGTTTTTCTGCTCTAATTTGTCAATTTTTCAACACATGGAAATTATTAGTGCAACCCCATAGTCCGAAATTAGAGCAGAGGGGACAGAGGCATGCCCTGGATGTACCATGGACGAGTATCCATTTAAAAAATACTACCAAAGCCAGTTGAAATTTGTGTTTTGCATATTTTAATCTATGTTGGAGAGTATGTGTACATATATCTAATGCCTACATATGCTATTTAAATCCATGTCATCATTTTAGTTGGATGATACCTTTATTGTGAATTTTCACTGGGTATTATAATGAATTGTGGGCACTTCAGTAGTTTTCTGTGAATCAGACTTAAATGTGATTGTTCAGGACTACATCCCACTTAGGCATTCAGGCTGAAACCAGCAACAATTGGCCATGACCTTTAACATGCCTGCTTTCCAAATTAATGCCGACCATTAATCACACGGAGCTTACATTTTATGATTCGCGGGTCGTTCCTCGCTGGCCTCCTCCCTCTGCGCCCCCTCCTCGGCGGAAACACACGCATGCACATGGAAACATCTCACAATCAGGCCCCCACCCGGTTGCCAGCTCTGCCAGGGCATCAGCAACGCCCTTTGCAGTTCGTCCGCACGGAAGGAGTTTCTATTGCCAAACTAGAGACCAAGGAGTGCCCCTGGCTGCACAAGCAGCGATGGCTAGGCGCTGAGAAATGCCACCGCGAAAGGTAACCGCCCGGTTCTCGGCGCCGATTGTTAAGCAAAGCCAAATCGGCCGTCTGCGCCCGAATGCATCTCCACTGCGGAGTTATCACGCGCAGCAGCCGAACTATATGGCCTAGAGCCTGGTGGGAGAAGATAGTCCCCTCCGCAGGCCACAGCTCTCCTGGCCTACGTCACCACGGATCGCGGGGCGCGCTCTCCGGCCCCTCCTCCTCCCTCCCTCCTCCTTCTGCTCTGGTTCCCCTCCCCCCCCTCCAGCCTCCCGCAGCCCCTCCCTGCCAAGTACCAAGAAAGGTTTGGGGAGTCAAATCAAGATTTTTATTCCCAGACTCAGTGTATTGGCACTAACTACGACCCACGGAGTGTAGTGGGGGTAAACAAAATGAAGTTTTCAGAACAAAACCAAAACGAGTTGAACTTTGAAGACACAAGTAAACAGCCACAGTGACAATCGAGGCGAAGCTCCACTCGGGCCTGGAATCTTCCAAGCCTTCCCGAGGACCCCGTGCTCTGTTTTCTGAGCTCCACATCTGAACTCCCAGAATCGCTCCCACGGAAGTTCAGGGGCCACATGCGCATCTGGGACCGCGGGCAGGGAGGGCACCGTGAAGCCTGGGCTGGATGGTCAGCGTCCAGGTTCCTGAGTCGGCTGGACCTGCATCCCAGGCACGTCTTCACGTATTAGATGCGTGTGTATGTCTGTGTGTGTGTCTGTGTCTGTGTGTGTGCGCGCCCGCGCGCGTAAACTGCCTCCAGGAACTGTAGCTGCGGCAACCTGAGACCTGGAGCCGAGCGGCGACCACTAGCCTCCGACGTCGTGATTCAGTGCTATTAGGGGAGGAATTATCTGGGTCTGAGTCATCGTAAGCCTCCAGACTTTCTCCGCAGTGTGGCAGAACTTTGTGCTGATGAGACAATAGTGGAGCGTGTGCGTTTCCTACAGGGCAGACCATTCCTGGGCTGGGGGAAGCCTCGGGCCTGCTCAGGGCGGTGGGTGCCGGGTCTCCCTCTTTGCACCGCACTGTCCCCGGGAGCTGGGCTGGCGCCTGGGCCCCCGCGGAGCGGACGCGTCGGGGAGCGCGCGAGTGGCGCGCAGAGGGGGGCCGGGCGCGTGGCGGGTCCCGCGCGCCCTCGCGCGTCCCCCGCTCCCGGGCGCAGCTGGCGCGGTCGGTCTAGGGCAGCTCTCGACTCCGCGCAGCGCCGCGGGCGCTAGGCTTCACCTTCAGATGCGCGGGGCGTGCGCGTCCTCCTCTCCAGGTCTGCAGTTTTCACGCCAAGGTAGGGGCCGTGGGGCGGGGGCGCAGCGGGGCCAGCCGGAGGGCGGATGGGCCGGTGGGAAAGCGAGGGCTGGAGCTCGCGACGTGCCCGGGACCCTGCAGTGCCCGGTGGGGTGAGGGCGTGATAGGGAGGGGGCGCGTTCTGGAGGAGTTCCCGGGTGTGGGGAGGGCGACTTGGCTTTCCCCGTTGGTAGTTGTTTGGCCCTACAATTCCCGGAGAGGGGAATAGGCAACTTCGGGCGGCGGGGCGAGTGCCCGGGAGGTGGCTTTTACCGCAGTGGAGGGGCGGGGTGGGGGCCTGGGTGGGAGCGCGGAAGAGGCTCTGGCTTTGTACACTTCGTCAAAGGCGACGCGGGAGGAGGGGAGCTCGGATGCGCTCCCATCCATTAGGAGACAAAGAGCAAATTGCCTTACTTTAAAGTAAAACGCTCCAGCTAATGAAGGTGGGTGATGGGCGGCGGGGCCGGAGGAGCCGCTTCAATTATTAAGGGTTTGGCGGAGGGGATCGATGCCTGTGGGGACGGAGCGCCGCTGCCTAGGGGACGTGTTTGCGTGTGTGTGTGTGTGTGTGTGTGTGTGTGTGTGTGTGTTGTTCTCACTGCCCGCTCCCAGGGCTCCTGCCCATCAGCTGGGAGATTTGAGTGACCCCAAGATTAAAGAAGTGGTAGCTCTGGGAAGGGAAGTTCGTGTTGGGGTGGGGGCGGGGGCGAGGTTCTGGAAGTGACTCGGAGAGGGGTGGGAAGGTCTGTGGGGTACTTTACTGGGGTATAGCAGGGTGGGGGCGGGGGACTTATTGATAGTGATATATGTATGTGTGTATACACATATTACACCCGGGTGTGTAAAAGAGAAGAACGCAGTGGAGTGTGTGCTGCGGGGGTGGGGTGGGGGTTGGACCGGCGCCTTCTCTGCCATTTACAGGGAGAATATACCGAATAGTTAGGATCAGTATTTTGATTAAACCGCCTCGTTAAGTTTAAAGAAACTTTGTCTGAATAAGTTTGTCAAAAGCCAACCCAGTGGGGTCCTTAAACCAGCGGTTCATTGAGGAAGGCCGGTGTGTGGTGACTATCAGGCTTTGTGAGTCTGAAAGCCAGTGGATCTCTGCAATTAGGACTCCAGAGAGCCAGCCTTTTACCCGAAAAATGTGGGTCTGTAAGTCAGCCACATCCATCACCAGCATTAACAAGCTCTCTGCAGCCTACCAGATCTGCCCCGACCTTCGGGGCTGTGTGTGCAGCTAACCCATTCCCTGGCTTGCAGATAAAGAGGCACTTGGTCTCCGGGTGAGCACAGATCAACTTGCTCGGCCCCTCTTTTTAAATATATTCATTCGGTGCTTTATTTAATCCAGATGCACAAAAAAGCCATTTACTGCTTTATTGTTGGTTTACATTTTTTGAAAAGGCGACTGGTTTGTAACCTGTGGAATTTGAAATGCAAATAAAAGCCCGTGGGAGTTGAGGCAGAACAAATCGGCACTTATAAAGTGAAAAAGATTTAATGTCTTTGAAATCATTGCGGAGGAAAAAAACTGGAGTGGGTGTGTTTTTTTTTTTTTTTCCCTCCCAGGGAGTGAATTGTGACGTCAGGTCTTTTTGGAAAAGATGTTATTTTTAAGGTCTTGAAACCCGGGTATGTGAAGTGCTTACAGGAAAAACAGATTACAAGATTAACATCTGTTAACATGATCGTTTATCTCCAGCCAAAAATAGGTCAGTTCTTTCTTAAGGAAACATCCTTGCTTCAGCATGCTTAAATAATAAAATAACCACTTAAAAAATTAGGGACGAGCGTTTGTTCTAATCTGATCCGTGAACAACATTTTTTAATTACGAAATCACCTAAAGGTCAAAGTCCCTTTTGGGGTGTTGAGAACAACTCTACCCGCCCTATTGGCCCCCTCTCTTTTACTTTGGGCTCCCCCCTCCGACTGCCGATTTCCCTTTTCGTCCATTGTAGAACAACGGGATAGATTTAAATGGTGTCCTCTGACGCCCCCCTCGTTAGGAAGGTAAACTCTCACCACATCGATGGCTAACTTTCAGACTGTTGTTTTACCATTAAATGGAATGGCAGGGAGAAGAGAAAAAAAGAAACTGCTTCGCAAAGTCTTCCTGCCCCCTTTCTGTGAGTGACAGCTCTGCCAGCCAATCCGCAGCGGCTTTCTCGATCCCGGAGGTAATTTGATGTGTGTGTGTGTGTGTGTGTGTGTGTGTGTGTGTGTGTTTGTGCGCGCGCGCGTGCATGCGCCCATGCGCCCATGTGTCGGCACAGTCTGGCCAGCCGCGCGCATCCGCAGGCTCCCGCATTTGCACAGATGTGTGCTGTAGACGTGGACACGCTTTTATCCAAGTCTGTCCAGCTAGATGCGCACGCAGCAGTCCAAGAAGAGACCCTGCCCCCTCCCAACGTCCTCCCGATAAGACAGGGCATTAGAGGCATTTTCAGATTCAAGTCGAAACGTGCACCATGGGAAGGAAAAAGGAACGATATGATTACAGTTCTCAGCCAAGGGGACTCGTGAGCAGCTCCATCCCCTGGGTCCTGTGGGATCTTGATGCAGCCACTGGCCGATAGTCTAACGTAAGGAGAAGGCGGATTTTTAAAACGGATGTTAACTCCGTAGAAAGTGAAGGGCACCGTGTGTCTTCCAACTTCCAGTTTTATTTTCTCACTGGGATTGATACTTATCCATGGCAAATTCTAGAATGCGAACTGCTGGTGGTCAAAGTTCTGCTATCCACCTGGCCGTGTTTGCCCGGCAGGGCTGAGTGCGTCTCGGACCACCCCGGGCTTCCTATTGAATCTGAGCCACTCTTCTTAGGAACATCAGCTGTGATGTGTGGCTAGTGCGGCACGAGCTTCAGGATATGTACCGGCCAGACCTAGAGGGTCTAGCTTGTGTTTGTGAGCCGCTGGGGGGTGGTGATGATGCAATCTTGGGTTAAAGACCCGCATGCGCCCTCCCTTTCCAGAGACCCCTGAAAAGCACAGCGTCCACACCCAGGTGTGCGGGGCCAGGATGCTCTGAGGTCACCTCGAGGGTTCCTCCACACCCTGGCTCCGGAGACTTCCAAGTCGGTTACTAGGTGGTGTCATTCCGCGCCTTTCCTCCTACCGGTCTCTTTCCGACTCCAACCCCAGTGCCACCGATTCAGTCCCCTCTCCAATCAGCTAGCCCGAGGCTTGAGGCATGGGTATGTCGTTGCATTAAAGCATTCGTATTTCTGCGTGTCCCGGCGCCGCTTGGGAGGTGCACGGGGCTGGGTGGCTGGTGGGGGTAGGGAAGGGCGCGCGGGGGCGGGGCACTACCTGCCCGCCCCGGGGGCGGAGCGGAG